GGCCTAAGAGAAAAAGGAAAAAACAAGGAGGAATTCCTAAAAGAAAACGTCATTTAGATGTGTTTGACTGAGAGAGAGTATAAATAGGACAGTCCAGGGAACAGAAGGTTCATTTGTGAAAACTGAATCCTAGTAGACACATCATGTTACAGCCCGATTCCTGTGCGTGTGGGATGAACAATTTACAATTGTTTCAAGTCCCTCCGACTAATATTGCTTTAGAAGACTCGAAATGGGAAGAATATTACCCCATTTCCAGTACTTTAGATTCTGACACCGCTCCCATCGAATTTGAAATCAAAGGACAAGGAGATCACTATCTGGATTTATCTCAAACTTATGTTCAAATGGTATGTAAATTTACCAAAGACGATGGAAGTAATCTGACTGGGGCGAACAGCACTTCCAGTCCCGTGAATAATATCTTACATTCCATGTTTACGGAAATCGATGTCAGTCTGAATGGCAAAATAATAACTCCGGGGACGGATACTTATCCTTACAAAGCTTATCTGGAGAAATTATTGTCTTACCGACCCAGAACTTTAAAGACACAGACGAGGGCCTGTAGTCTGTGGGAAAAAGATACGGCAGGACACATGGACGAAGTGGGGTTAGAGGCTCTTGGTGTAGCTCAAAATAAAACCTTTGATGTAACTCCAGCTGGAAATGGTGGTGCCGACACGGTGACCATTAACGAACCCATCCTCACAGCGTTACCGGCCAATTCTAAAAACGAAGGATTCCGAAAAAGACACCAAGCTATTGCTGACAGTAAGAAAATCAGTTTGCTGGATACTTTACATTTGGATTTGTTTCAACAAGATCGATTTTTACCTAATGGAGTGGACGTCCGTTTGCGATTTAATCGAGCTAGACCCTCTTTCTACATGATGATCAAAGGAGGAAGTACAGGAAAAGTGAAAATATTGAGTATGATCTTGTGGGTGAGAAAAGTCAAACCCACAGCAGTCATGATGAATACCATTAATCAGAGTTTGAATACCCACAGAGCCAAATATCCCTTGAGAAGAGTGGAAGTGAAAACCTTTACCATTCCCATAGGGACCCAGTCTAAGATTACGGATCATCTGTTTCAAGGCCAGATGCCTAAACGTCTCATTTTAGGCTTTGTGGAGAATGCGGCCTTTAACGGAGATAAAACTAAAAATCCCTTTCATTTCCAAAACTTTGGGATCAAGAAATTAGATGTCAGTATCAACGGAGAGACCATGAGTACTCGTTGTTTTGAGCCTAATTTCAACGACGATTTATATCTGAGATCGTATCTCAGTCTGTATCAAGCCCTGGGAAAATTAGGAGAAGATTGGGCTCCGGACATTACCCTAGAAGAGTATAAAAGCGGCTACACTCTATGGGGCTGGGATTTCACTAAAGATCAAGAAGCGCAATCGGATAAATTCCACATCATAGAAACAGGAAATCTGAGAGTAGAAGTGCAGTTTACCAACAATACGGTTAACACCATCAATTGTGTGGTGTATGCAGAATTCGATAACCTATTAGAAATTAACAAACAGAGAGAAGTGAGCATTGATTACTAAAAAATGGATACGGGACAATTGAGAGAAGTCTTATCCAGAGAATTCAAGAGTTCTTTTGGAGGCGTGTATCCTGTAGATTTATTACCGGATCAATTAAGACCTGGAGAAAAAGCTGTGGTGGTCAATACGGATCCTCAAGATCGACCTGGAGAACATTGGGTGTGTCTATATGTGAGCAATCCCGTGGTGGAATATTTCGATTCTTATGGATTTCCTCCCTTACAAAAAGAAATTCAAGATTTTATCCAGCGTCATGCTCAGCAATGGATTTATAATCCGTATCGCTATCAAGACTGGAATACCGATATGTGTGGACAATATTGCGTGTATTATTTACATCAAAGAGACAAGAAAAGAAAGAAAACCGACGAGTGGCTATTCCCCTTTGACCAGAGTACGGCTTTACAAAGGGACAGATACGTAGCGAATTGGTTTAAAAACACTTATCATAAATTACCTACGGGTCATGGACAAAAGTGTCAATGTTTTTATCAAAATGTATTGTAAATGAGTTGTTTGTTGTTTGTTGTTTGTTGTTACAAAATAAAGAATGAAAAAAAAATCAAAATCGGTGTTCTTTGTTTTGTGTTATTGTTTTCAGAAAAAAATCCAGTTTGAACTGGTTAGGCTAGACTGAGCTTTTGGACTGTGAAGTGTGACGTCATAATCTTGAATCGGTGCCAAGTATTTACCTATGTAGTCAGCATAAAAAAAAAACGTAGGTCAAACGCATGTTTTGCACACGGGCCGCTGACTTGAATCGCTGCCAAGTATTTACCTGTGTAGTCAGCATAAAATAAAAAAACGTAGGTAAAACGTGCACAGGCCCCGCCCCCCACAGCAGGTATATAAAGCGGAGCTGGGCGTACCCTGCACTCATTATTTAGCAAGCGAATTCCAAGAATATTAGAAGACATGGAGATAGATAAAGATAAATTTGCCTTATTAGAAAAGAGAATGACGGAACCTATGGAGGGGGATCACGAAGCTCCTCAAACAAAAAGAAGAATAGAGTTGAAAACCCTGGATCCGGAACCTAAGAATGAATATATACCCCTGCATGAGCCTATCAATGATCCTAAATGTCCAGACAGATTTTACAGGACAGCCATTAATTGGACTTTCACCATTAAAGAGCCTAAAGAAGAAGAAGATATAGACATGTTTCTGAGCAACCAAGATGATTTCTTCTTTGGTTTCCAGTATTTGATTATACAAAAGGAAAGACATCCCTGGACAGGAGAACTGCATCAAATCAGGGGATTCATTCAAATGAAGGAGCCAGAAGGAGGACTGACTATGTGCAGACTTCATATCGCTGCCAGATTTGCTATGTCTCACAGTACTCCAGAATTGGAAAGTATGTTTTACAAGCAAGGAGGTGACTATGAAGAATATGGTGTTCTGAAACCGGAGGAGAGAAACAAGGAATTGGAGCCCAGAGATTGGATACAATGGGAAATAGGTGCTTGGAAGAAACCTGAAGCTATTGCAGCTAGAGAAGCTAGGAAGAAACAGTTCTTAAAGAATGTGAGCTGGTCAAGATGTGAATAAAAAAAAAAAGATTGAACTGTTATTTATTGTTAAATCTCAATAAAAAAGAAAAGAAAAAAAAATTGTGGGTTTTTTGTCATTTTTTAAAAATAGGTTATCTCCCTTTAACCATAGATTTTTTTTTCAAAAACACAAAACAAAAAGTGTTGAGGGTTTTTTAAAGATTGGTTAAAAATAGATACAATAAAAAAAAAAGGTATAAATAGTAAACATGGTACAAAACACACCTCAGTTGTGGACTGGCTTCATTATGGGTAACACATCCAGTAAAGAAATGAGTCAGAACACTAGATTAAAGGAAACTGAATGGTTACTTATACAGGAGGGAGGAAAAGATATCATACCACCTCCCTTGATGGTAGAACATCCTGCAGTCTTTATACCACCTCCCTTGATGGAAGAACATCCTGTAGAATCTATACCTCAGGAGGAAAAAGAAAACATAAGACCAAACAACAAACTCTTGGAGGATATTAAGGCTCATTATCAAAATAAACAGAAAGAAAATACAGACAATGGATATATTGCTTACTTAAAACAAGACAGAGGTAGAATAGCCAATAATTGGATATTTAATTTAACTGGGTGCCAACAGGAAGATGTAGATCAAATCATTGGAAGTGATTATCAATACTTGATCTTACAAAAAGAAAGGCATCCAGAAACTGGAAAACTTCATCATGTGAGAGGATTCATTCAAATGAAAAACAGAGTTCAAGGGAGATACCTGTACAGAAAGATTCATAAATTAACCTGTTTTGAGATGTCTTACAGCACCCCAGAATTGGAAAGAACCTTTTATAGACAAGGTGACTATGAAGAATATGGAGTTCTAAAACCTGATGTGAGAAACAAAGAATTAGTTCCAAGAGATTGTAGATTTACCTGAATAAAAAAACTTGTTTTTTAAAAATTCTTGTTGTTGTTGTTCTATAAAAACAAGGGTGTTTTAAAAAATAGATTCATTTTACATCATGAGTCTCCAGGAGATACAAGGTGATTTACTCAACTGTGAGGTAGAAGCTATTGTTCATCAATGTAATTGTTTAACTGTAAAAGCTCATGGATTGAGTCAAAGTCTGGCAGAGAAATTCCCACAAGCTAATCTCTATGCCACTCGCAGACCTCTAGGGACTAGAAATTTAGCCGTAGAAGAAGATAGAGGAATTCCAGGCACTATTAAGGTGTTTCCCTCACAAACTCCTGTGGTCATTTGTTTATTAGCTCAATGGGATTATGGAAAACCAAGTCACCGACCTAAAAGAATTTCCACTTATCAGGATACCCCACAAAACAGAGAGCAATGGTTTCAAACTTGTTTACAAGAAATGGGGGAAAGTTTACCTTACCAGACTTATGCTTTTCCTTACAAGATTGGGTGTGGACTAGCCCAAGGAAATTGGATTCATTATAGACATTATATTGAACAATTTGTACACACTTATGAAAAACATGTGTACATTCTTCATCATCATCATTAATTGTGTATTTTCATGTGATGTAAAATAAAGAAGGAAAAAAAAGTACCTTTTTATCTGTCATACTCTTTTTTAAACCGGAGATGAAGGTCCACCGCTCCCCATGCACTCATAAGCAGATCTCTGGTGGGGGGTCAGTAGAAACACTCAAGTAGTTTTTTTTCTTTTCCCCTGTGATATAATGTCAAATATTTAAATGGAAAATTCAGAAATTTTATGAGCACTTAAAGATAAAAAACTTGCTATCTTTATGGTATTGATTTCCATTATCAGATTTTATTTTTTTTTTATCCATTTTTAAAATATAAAACATTTAAAATAATTATCTTAATAATGATTAAATAAATTAAAATGATATTGAAACTTTTTTTAGATTCAAGTTTTGTTTTTGTTTTTATGTTAGTTATTTCACTGTATATTTCCCAAAGGAAAACCAACAGCCAGGCTTCACTTCACTTAGAGAATGGATTGGTTAGGAACAAAACATATCTTCCAGGTTTGAGGACTGTATAGAAAAATAAAACCCATTTTTTGTTATTATGATTTAAATTACATGAGACAATGACTCTTATAAATGTAATGCAAAAGAATATCTCTTATATATATATGGATTCCTTTACTCTAATTATATTAAATGTCATTTGTAAACTGTATTTTTTTTTTTTTAAGACAGATTTTATTTACTATAGACTTTTAAATGATGACATGAATAGCAGGCCATACTTTCAGCACATGACAAAAACATTCTCTCAAATTACACAGAAATGGATTATTTAGCATAGCTGACATTAAACATATAGATGAGGGATAACATAATCACTATTATAAACAATGTGAAACAACTTTAAAGGACCTACAGGGTAGATTACAAGCCTTTTTCACTGGGGTAAAATCTCGCCGAAATTCGCTATGGCCGCCGAACCCGAACCCGACTGTATAAAGATGAAGTCATAAAAATAACATAACACTGATGTAGTATTACATGATTTTTTTTATTTTATTTCGTACCATTTCTGGGGCAGAATTGTTTTCATATGTCGACATAGAAAATGTATGGTAGCTAGTCTCCCCATACGACCCCCCCTGACTTGAATCGCTGCCAAGTATTTACCTGTGTAGTCAGCATAAAACACGTAGGTCTATCGTATATTTTTTTTTTGCACACGGCCCCCCTCACAGGTGATGCAACAGGTATAAAAAGGTAGGTCAAAGGTGCACACGGCCCCCCTGACTTGAATCGCTGCCAAGTATTTACCTGTGTAGTCAGCATATTTTTTGCACACGGCCCTAAACAAACTTGACTCGCTGCCAAGTATTACCTGCGTAGTCAGCATAAAAACGTAGGTAAAACGTGCACTCGCCCCACAGCAGGTATATAAAGCAAAAAACTGTAAAATTTGACAATCAGTCTTGCTTGACACTTCGAACTTGACAGACGTGAAAATAGTATGGCAGAAGCAATGATGAATACTCCACACAACCCCAGCTATGTGATACCTGAAGGGTATGTAGGAGCCCCCATGCCAGAGTCACAGGATGCAGTGGGATTAGATTTGGGTATGTATAATCTTCCAGCATATGCGAATAAAGAAGATATGGGCCTATTAAATACTACTCTGGCTGGGATTGTTAACATGCTGTCTGGTCTTGACAACAAGCTATCTGATCTGAAAAGTTACATCACTAAAATGAAAGGAGGAAGCACTTACCAGAAAAAACAAGGGGGAACGGGAGAAAAAAAGAAAACCAGACAGACGGATCCATGCTTCATCTGTAAAGAGTTAGGGCATTGGGCCCCAGATTGTCCCCGAAAAAAACAGGATTCGTGCTACAAGTGCGGGAAATCTGGTCATTGGGCTAATCAGTGTACAGAGAATGAGGAGGATCAACAATTGGTTAAAGAAATACAAAAACTGGAGAAAAAGCCTCAGGAACCCAAGAGGAAACTACCCCTGATGACCGATAAGGCCCAGAAGAAGAAAAAGTAAATTGTTGTATTTTTTTACTTGAATAAAATCTGTGTTCTTGTTTCTATTGTGTGTTATTGTTTTTTTTTTTTCCATTTTCGGAAAATCATTGTGAATGAGTGACGTCATAATCAAATTCTTTTGACTCGCTGCCAAAATCGTAGTAGCAGCGTTGTGAATCGTAGTAGCAGCGTATAGTGTATAATGTAAACACAGTGTAAACACCCCGTATAGGACATATAGGGGCTATGTACTAACCCACCTAGCCCCCTAGGGTTAGGGTTAGGGTTGTAGTGAGTTGACCCAGCTATCCCCCACAGACCCCCTAATCTGCACTCAGTTGAACCCCCTATCCCCCCAGGGGCTGCACTCAGTTGAACCCCCTATCCCCCTCCAAACCTGCACTCAGTTGAACCCCCTATCCACCCCAGCCCAAAAGTGCACTCAGTTGAACCCCCCATCCAGGCGGCTTATACTACTCTTTTCTCTTTGACAAACCTTTTACTGACAATCGTAAGAGATACTCCGATGTCTGCTGTGTGACGTTGACATAATTAATTACCAGAACATATTTAGACTCATCACTTTTCTTCGCATTCAGTAAAACTAAATTTCTTAGCTGTGATGGATCATTATGATTGTGGAGGAGTCGACCATAGGCATCTCTGAAGATTTCAAACTTTTTTTCAGCTACAGTGTATTTGGCGAAGCTGGTATCCCCTGATACATCCTGTTTGTACCAAATATAGCTATCCACAGTAAGGTCCTTCCTCTCAGGTAGATCAAAGGACAAAGTAACATTGTCACTTATGCAGCCAACAATAGTTTTTTGGACATATTGACCAATTACTGCAAAGGAAATGCAGACTATATGGAAGTTAAAATAAGATATGAACGTTTTATAGATGATTTATATAGGTTTCCACTGCAAGTGTATCTAGCCTCGTCTTCAAAAAGTAAATTGAAAAATTAGTTCAGTTTTTCACATTCTGAATTTGTATTTGATCCTTTTTTCAATTGTTCAATTATATCATTAAAATCATTAATACTATATAGCAAGAAAAGTTCATGCATATGGTTACTTTTTTTCAAATTCAGCAGATATACTGAACGTGGTACCATGCTGAGATATTACACTATAAATCGACAAAGAAAATGGATTCAAGCATACAAACCTTGATGCACCTTTTTTTTTTAAGACCCTCCTCCACCCCTGCACTCCTACCCCTGAAAATGGGTATTAATGTGTCATGTTAATCATATATATATTATATATTTGATTGTTCTGACTCGACTTGTTTAAACTGTTTTTATGTACATGTATCGCCTATTTTGTTTTGATGTGCCATCTTTTTGCTAACTTTTTCACATGATGTTTTGATTGTCTTGTCTTACGGATACTTTCTTCTAGTCAGTTTTGGGGGATCAGACATTATCATATTTTACGTAACTGCTAATCAAAGCTTGTGAATCTGATCCCCTTCTTGTTTGTTAAATTGTTCACATTTATACTGTCATTTTAATAAATGACATTATTCATCTCTATGAAAGTGTTTTATTTGACTTATACAAAAGTAGCAAAAACAAGCTGCGGTGAGCATGCCTGTAAGCATAAGAATACATAAATACAAACCTTGATAAGCAAACACATACACAACAATAAGACATGATAAGACATGTATTGGATTCATAATAATGAAGAAAAAATCACGCACAGACACAAACCCAAAGCTTTAGTCGTGCATAACATACAATTCATACATTATCAAGGAACTAGGTTAGAAAGGGAGGAAGCGGATGATAAAGTGAGTAAAGTTAAATTTCAGCTTTCCGTAAAATAGAAACATTGTATATGATGTTAACTAAAATATATGGAGATAACGAACACCATTCACGCTCAAAAGTCCAATAAGCAGTACAAAATAGTAGTGAAACAAAAATTCCTTTATACAGGTAATATAGACTGTCATTTCAGAAATTTATACCAAAGCCTTTTGTGTTTCACGTTGGGGACATATGTTTACTGACAAAAAAATGACAAAAGTTTTAATTTTTCACCAATTTCAAAGGGGTTTACAACTAAAACATAGTATTTTATTAATGATGTATGTTTAATTTCATAAGCTAAAAACATAAGAAAAGAGGTAAGGAATTTTTATTCACATTCAAAATTATTTTAAAATACGGTGATGTTGTTAAGCCCGGTTTCAACGGAAGATATCGTCTAACCCCCCCCTTTTTTTTTTAAAGAGCTAGAATAAGGGATAATTAACTATTTTACACTGGTATTAAAATTATTAATGAATTATAATTGAACAGATCTTTTCATTCAACAAAGATTTTATAGCCAAATTGTCATTTATATTGAATTAAATAGGTGTAAAATGCAGGCGGGAATCAAGATTTAGCGTACGTAGTTCTTTGTTTGGTTGTCTCCCAACCGACAGACCAAGCATTGCACGACTTTTCAACTATTTTCTAAATTCTAGGACATTTTTTGTCCCCCGCTTGAAAAGTGGGGGATATTAATTTGGGTCTGTCCGGCTGTCCGTCCTTCCGTCTTTCTGTCTGTCTGTAACGCTTTCGTTTCCACACGATATCTCGAGAACCCTTTTAGCTTTTGCAATGAAATTTTGCATAGCAATTCACTATGGACTAAAGAAGACCCCTATTGATTTTGAGGTCAAAAGGTCAAAGGTCAAGGTCATGAATTTGCAAATTCTGTCTGTTATAACACTTTCGTTGCCACGCGATATCTCGAGAACCCTTTGGGCTTTTGCAATGAAATTTTACATAACGACTCCCTGTGGCTTAAGGAAGACCCCTATTGAATTTGAGGTCATAACTGTATACATTCTGTTTGTGTGTAACACTATCGTTTTTGGGCGATATTTCAAGAGGATGTTGAGCATTTGCAATGTAATTTTATACCAATAGTCCCTAAAACCTCTCTCACCCCTCTCAAAGTGACCCGCCCCGTTTGTTTTATTAGTATTGATTGTATTACATGTCGCTATTTTTAGCACAGGGGCATGAAGGAGAGTTGTTACGTATAAAACAGGTTCTCGGCGGACTTTATATTCTTATTACATCTATTAGAACTGTTAAATAAAGGTTAAATTAGACAACATGCATTGTGTTAAGTTTTGACAATATATTGAACGTGAATATATACATGTATGTGACTTAATGTTTGTATATATAATTTTCGCTGAGTAAACGCAACTCCGTGGTCTAGTCGTAGTTCTCTTGCTTCACATGTGAGAGGGCCAGGGTTCGCATCCCTAAATATTCATTTTTTCCAAAATACCTTATTCAACCAAATGATAGTATTCAGCATGTGAAATGATTGATTGATTGAATACTGTTCAACGTCCCTCTTCAGAATATTTCACTGATATGGAGACGTCACCTTTGCCTTTGAAGGCCTGCAAATTTAGGCCTATGCTCGGCACTTACGGCCTTTGAGCAGGGAGGGATCTTTATCGTGCCACACCTGCTGTGACACGGGGCCTCGGTTTATACGGTCTCATCCGAAGGACCGCCCCATTTAGTCGCCTTTTACGACAAGCAAGGGGGTACTGAGGACCTATTCTAACCCGGATCCCCACGGGGTACATGTGAAATGAAAAATTTATGAGGTCTGGCTTGTACAAACTCATAAAATCATTATTACAGTGTGATAAATATTCCATATTAAAAGAATAATCTACACACATAATAAAGAATGATCAATCAAACCTTTATATCCATATTGGCATATTTTATTTGCTTCAGTATACATTTAATAATTCTACAAATTCAGTCAAGGGGATCCGAACCCCACCCCCAACCCTCTGCGCTGGTTTACTTTTTCCCTAAGCGGGGGACACAAATTCTCTGAATTAGCTTGTTTCTTGTTATTCCTCATCCTGTCAATTAATATGTTGAAATTTTCTGGAAAAGGTGGTTTCTACCTATAGCTACGTACAGATCTAATGTATTATTTTACCCCTAGGCGGGAGAAGCAAACGAACGCTATCTGAGAGATGGTCCTAGCTAATTGATTTTTTAATATTAATTTTAAGGTTTATACACTTGATCGTGTAACCTCATGGACAGTCTTCAATTTTTTTTTTTTGGTTTTCTGTGTGATCATAATTACATACAGACTAACTTTTGCTACTTATATTTGTTTTTCTTAGATATTAGCTTTGGGAAACCCGAACAAGTAAAGGGATGCACAGTATCAACATGGAGAAAACGGAATTCTAACAATGGTATCGCACATTTTCACAATGAAATTATCAAGGAAGAAACATTTTATACTGAATCAACTGATGTAGGCTAAATGATTATAGCCCTATTTCTCTTATTAGTAATAGAAAATGTGAAAAGATGGGCAAATGCTGCTGAATATATTACTTTGAAGATTATTAAATTTATTTATCCGGTGACATTGTTTAAAAAATAGCTTTTAGATCTTATTTTCTTGCAATGCATACCAAGCGACACATGTTTAATAAAACAAACATTGCTTGTGATTTAATGTCTATAAAAACTTTTTATAAAAAGCTACAGCAGTAGCTACATGAACTTCAGTATTTCTTCTTTATTTGAAATTATTTTAATTGATGGGATAATCAAATAATGATTGAAAATGTCGGTTCAAAACAAATATCTTTATATCGCTTTTATCTGATTAAAGAAACCATGCTTCAGAATAGGAAAAGGTTGAGATTTTTATTGGATGATAAATTTCAGGTGGGACATACATGTGTGTACGATTATTCCTATAAGTGAATTTTCCGAGGGCTAGAAGTCTAACATTGGTTGCATTCTCCGTTATGCCCTATATATACACGGAAGCTGAACTTATACATATATCTGTGTTAGTTTATTGCTCTTTTATGTTTTACTAAGTTATCCATGATAACTGTATAAGGTTTATTTCAACAAGCCCAGTCCCTCTATCATGGGCCATCTTACATAATATAAAAAATAGAATAATTTTTTTCTCTCTAATTTTTGTCAAATACTAAAGAGTAAATATTTATTAAATGACAATTTAATTAATTCTTTACTTATACTTATTCACAACATTTAAACATTATGATTTCTTTATTCTAGTTTTTTTCTTCAAGGCACCACAATTTTGGAGTCTTTCGATTTTTATAAATTTCAGTCTGATATTCAGAAGAAGAAAAAAAACTGATTATTTTTAAAATATGCATAATTCAGATAAATGCATTGAATAATTCTTTTATATTTTTATTTTTTTTTTTTTTGGATTGATCTTTTATAAGGCATACAATAACATAATTTAGAAATAACCTGCATCACCTTACTTCAACCTACATGTGTAAATTTTGAAATACTGAGTTTTTCGAGTCCCTTACCCTGGGCAAACACAAAATCAAAGCATTTTTTCTTCTAAAATATTCTTTGTAATAATATCTTGAAAAAAAGTGAATTTGCATTTAGATTTAGCAAAATTGATTTGTTTGGGTTTTTTTTGTTGTTGTTTGTTTGTATGTTTGTTTTTTTTTTTTTATTATTTTGCAGAGAAGATTTAGAGAGGATCTCTAGCAAGAACTAGAGGTACTGTGAGCAATGAGCTCACTAAATGATACCCCCCGACTCCCATATGAATACGGGGGTTGTCCAAAAAGTTCGTGGACAGTGACGTTTTTGTTAAAATAAATGGTTCTATATAAATCTATCGTATGTCAAAATATTTCTTATGAAAAAACAAGTCAGAATGATTTAATTTTTATTGATGGAACATAATAATTTGTAAGAAATATGGGTATTTAAAGGTCGCAGATAGTGCGCACAGACCAGTCTGACGTTAAGCAAATTTCATTATAACGTCAAACATTTGGATTTTGAATTTTAACACATGTCCATGGCCTCTCACTACGTTTCTGTTTTATGGCGCCACACTTCAAAGTGCTAGCAATAATATTTAAGTATAGATTATTATTTATTTAATTTTCAAAATTCAAAACAATGCAGAAAAATTTACGAGCGTCATCAATATAAACAGTTTGCATACACAAACTGCACAGACCAGTCTGACGCTGCGCTAGATTTATAAAAAACGTCATGAATAGAAATCTCCATTTTCATCAAATTTCACATGTTTTTAAATTCTAGTAGTGTCTTCAAATTTGTACATACCGTTAAACAATCGAACAAAACCAATCTTAAATCAATAAACTAAATATATTTCAATAATTTTTAGATGTTTTAACAAATAGTTTTGTGTTTTACGTCGTTCCAACTGTACTAAAACTTATTTTATGATTGGACATTGGTCCGTGCGGACGGCCGACGTCGCTTTTTCTGTCAAGTTTTGACACATATTTGTTAGGGTTTTTGTTCAGTAATTTCACTGTCTATATAGTAAGCGATTCTGATGATATCAGAAAATGATTATATCCTCTTTATTAGTGTTACTTATAATTTTTATGAAGTTTTGACTTGTTTAATTTAGAAAATAATCATTTTATTCCGAACACTTTTTATCAGACTTTATGGCATTTTAACCTTGGTCCATGCGCCCTATCTTTGATCATTAAAGATCCCGATTTTTACAAAAATCTTAAGTTCCATCAATAAAAATTTTTAAAATCATTCTGACTTGTTTTTTCATAAGAAATATTTTGATATACAATAGATTTATATAGAACCATTTATTTCAACAAAAACGTCATTATCCACCAACTTTTTGGACAACTCTCGTATAATGGCAGTGTCCATGTTTTGCTCT